ACGTTTTGTGTCTACCAAAACTTTAGACGGTTCCACGGATGATTGTCGATTTCGTGTGTGTGTGTTCACTAAGCAACATTCTGAGATTAATTCTAAAAAAAATCACAAAGTTGAAGCCCAGGTTGGAAGATTGGCATTACTTTAAAATTCTCCAATTCTTTTCCATAAGCAATCTGAAAATATCTAAAACCTACTAATAAAGATAACTTAAAATCATTTTTGGACAGTTCTTGGAATTTTTCATTGTACAAAGCTTTAGATAAACAGAAAAAAGCAGTCATTCAATTAAATCTGAGTATTCAATGAATAGTTAATTCAAATACTAAAATATTACAGTAATATATAAATACTAAAATGACCATGCTGTAAAATATCAACAAACGGATTGATCAGATTTACTACACTCTCAATAATTTTCAATTAAAATGTAACTTTTAAGTTTTTAAAGTTTGTTTGATTAGTGAATTCACGCAAAGCTTACTCAAGGGCTATCTGCGCTAGCCGTCCTTAATTTTGAAGTGATAGACTGGAGGGAAGGCAGCTAGTCAATGTATCCACCGCCAACTCTCGGGCTACTATTTGCCAACGAATGATGAGATTGACAGTCTCATTATAACGTCCCCATGGTTGAAATGGCGAGCATTCGATGACGGGATTAAAACCTGAAACCCGCAGCTTGCGAGATGAACGCCCTAACCATAAGGTCATGCAAGGCTAATTATAAAATAGTATTATTAATAAGCCCTAGGAGACGGTGTTTGTTTATTTTAGAACAAAGTCACAGTGTGTTATTTGCTGTATTCACCGTGGAGAATCGAACACCCTAGATTTCAGCCTTATAAGTCCGCAGACATACCGCTGTTACACCAGAAGACATTCGGAGCTGACCACTATATTCAGTTTCATATAATTTTCCTGTAAAAAGAGACACTTAGATTTTAATCATGTCCTTTAATTTTCAGAGATTTATGTTAAATTTTTGTAAAGTTCTCCCAGAACAATTTTTGAATACAGTGTCTGTTTATTACATGAAATCAGAAGTAATAGTAAACTTTAAGTTATTTCTCTGAACGAAGCTCAGTTCTTGATATGAAATTTCATTTTATATAACATACAGGCTGAACAGGCATCATAAATCTTACAGTGCAGAAAAAATCTATAAATTTAACATGAAGACGTTCGTATTTATTAGAATAATAGCTATTCAAAGTAAGATTAAGAAAGTAGAGATATATACATAATTATTACATAGAATATCTATAACATTTAAGCTTCTTACTGCCTGCTATAATCCGCGTGGAGTTTGTTTTTGTAGGTGGAGCCCCGTTTTCATATCCCGTAGGTAAAAGATTAAACTAGTTAAATTTAAATCTCTGATAATCCGAGGGATATGTAATGGATTTTGTGAAAGTATTTGAAAAGAGATTATAAGCTACAACATGCTGTTTAGTTGTATTTCAAAAATGTACTCTATACAAATTATTTAGTCCACACCTTGTGCAAAAAACACCCATCGTGTATGTGCACTTGTAAAATTCAGTGTTCGCTTCCTTTACGTACGAAGAAAATTAGCTGTTGCTTATTGTTGTAGCTTACAATGATTTTTGAAAAGTCTAACAATATTGCAGAAACTGTCACGTAACGTTCATAACATAAAATCGTGTCAACTATATTTCGTAAACTTTGGGGTAAAGTATGATACCTTTTTTAGTTCATTAGCTCATTTAGATTGATATCAATCTTACATCTAAAGTGATAAACTTGTTTTTTTTGGGGGGGGGAATCGCGAGTTAATATGTTCAAAACTGAATCATTGTCATCTGTTTTAGTTTGGCTCTTGAGATACGTCTCTAATCGTTAAGTGCTTTGCAAAATGTTATTGACACGATTTGTATATGATAGTCGAAGCTCATAGGAACAAGTCTTCTTGTAGAGTGTCTATGACAGTAGACTTTTTCTAAGTTATTATTTTAATGTAATGTGTGCATTTTGATGTCTAGAAACATTAGTTTAACAGGCCAAATATTCATGATAAAAAGATTACACTAGAGTCTAGACCAAATGTTTTCTTCCACACTTCTCTTAATTTGTCCATTATATGAATGTCAAATCGGCAAGAGTTTTTGTTTTTTTTCAGCTGGTTTGAAATATGAAGGCTAGAGTTTTCTATCTGAAACTAATTATGCGTACAAGAAGTACACTAGATTGCAGACTACTTTTTCTGGTATCGAAACAAAGGCATTCTGGGCAGTAAGATATATTGCAGGTAGATCTAAGAGGCTATTTTTATACACCTCTCATAAGGCATTCGTAAAGTATAAACAGACTTATTGTTTTTCATTGCTTTCGAGCTTTTAACTTTCAACACTAGACATCTAAGCACGAAATATGCCAACTTTGTATTCACGCCGCTTTCGTTGTTCCAAAGCCACAGTTTGTATTGT